TCTCAGGAGTTGAGCTTCCTTAATTTTATCCCCATCAGTGCCTGAGCACTAGCACTTTTTCAAAATAAAGTTCCTTATTCCTTTTTTTCTAGTCAAAAACATGCAGCATTTTTGAAAGAATTAAACCGATGATAAGAAATCAAATGTGAAAAACTAAAGCTAGGAAAGACAACAAATAAGGGTCTGATTAGACCTTTCCATCAGTGCTTGCTTTACTGTATATCTCCTCCATTCCCAACTCTTCTGCCATGCCCTGACCTGTGATGCAGAACTCCCATGTGTGAATCCTTCTAAGCTACACTCATGAAAATCCAAAGTAATTCCCTTTAAATCAACACAATGAGCCCACAATTGGTCTGGTGTTGCTGAGAGCAAAATTAGGCCCCTTGTTCTTCCAACTTTGAACATCCATCTGTTTTAACTGATTAGCAGCATATGGAAATGCAGAACATCCACTACAGATTTCCCAGGTGATTTAGCAGTGGACCTCTGCCAGAATAACTTGAGATGTTAGTGTTGCTATTAATGATGTTGCAATGGCAAGAAAATTAACTCATCCCCAGAAAATACATTCAAGCTAAGGATGGGTGAATCTGTTCCGTTAACCCCCTGGAATGTTGCTTGAAACTCATGTGGAACCTACAAGAGTTTGTGTTTTAAAGAAGGTTGGTCAATGGATTTAATTAACTTAATGTAGCGGAAACTTTTTTTTTTGAACGTGTCTGCGCCTTCCAGGGTCTGTCCTAGAGTGGCTGCAGAAGTCCCAAAATGCCAGGCATAAAGCTTTGTTCATGGAGTTTCTGGACTGCACAAGAGAAGCAACAAAAATCTAATGAGATTTGGAGGGAAACTGGATGAAACACAAATAAATTCAGATTAAAAATTTAGCTAAATAAAGGAAAGAGCCTGTTTCTGCCATATTTCCAGCCCAGTGTTGTAGACCTGTATTTCAGATGAACAACCCTCGGATCATTACCCACCTCTAATTAGAACCTAAGCCCCATTCCTGCTCCCATTGTAGTCAATGGCAAAATTCCCACTGACTTATTTTAGAGGCAGGATCCTGCAGTTAAGCCACCCCTAGATACCTGTGGGAGATTTGACAAAGGGTTGTAGTATCAGGTCCTGCAACAGCAGACATTCCACTGCAATTCCAGTTGTGGGGGTCAAGCCTTGCTTGCCTGTTGGGGACCCCTTCCCTTAAACAGAACTACTTGCATGAATAAGGAATGCAGGATGTGGCCCATATACTTCAACTTTTCAGAAACTGGTTCTGGGAAAAAAGTCTCATAAAGAGAGAAAAGTGATGCTGAAAGGACTTAGAGACAGCCTGGGTTGCCTTTGTAACTGTGGTCCCAATCCTGCAGTTTTCACTCAGGTGAAATGTTCTTCAGCCTTATCCAAAGCTCATTGAAGTCAACGGGAGATTTGCCATGGACTTTGGTTTGCCTGCCACTCCCATTCACTTTTCTTAGACTAGCAGCTGCTCATCACCTCCTAGGATTTGGCCCATTGACTTTAATGGGAGTTTTGCCCGAATATAAGCCCTGTAAATCAGGAGAGCTGGCTATTATTATTACCTGTGTATTTTAAAAAGCAGTATAAGCAAGTTCCTGAATAATTATAAGGCAGAATAACTGCAACTGTGAAGCCAATTCTGGCCTTTCAGAAAAATAAGAAATAGGAGCAGCATTCAATTCCCGTATCTAAACGTTTATTCCTCTAGCTTGACCATTCTAATATGTGAGGCCTCTGTATGTGTGTGTCTCCCCTCATATTGGGTTGTAAATCTGTAGCAATTTTAAGGTTGTGTTATTTTGTAAGGTAAAATACAATGGTGTTTTATCAACCCAACATTCTCCTATTCATATTGTTGACAAGGTATTTATGCCAGACGTCAAAAAAATTTATGCCAGATGTCAAAAAAATCATTGGTGGAACAATTCAGTGGCTGTATTTCAGTTTCATATTATAATTGGAGTGCAATTGCTTCCATACTTTGCTTGCTAGCACATTAGATATGAACTTCTTACTTTATTAATCTGTTTATTCAGGCTAGATGTGAACACTAATTTCCCAGAATACCTTATCTGCTCTAAAACGACTTCTTAACCTTCTTGCACAAAACTCATTTCCTGATTTAGCCCAGTGTTTTGAGAGAGCTTTCCTCCCCTGAATATTGTAAGCAAATCCAAACTGGAGTGCAATTAGGCTTTGGGAATATTGGACATTTCAGCAGATGCAGGGTACAATGCAGTAAAATATGGAACTGTGGAAATCTAAGAATTTCTTTGTTAATTTTATGATGGGTTTTTATTTTTTGTAGTAAGGTCACAGTGTTCTCTTTCTATGTGATAGCAATCTCACTGACATACAGCAAAGGGGACATGGTGACAGTGACTTCACAGGAGAAGATCAAAGAACTAGCATTTCAGAAGTCCCAAAATATCAGTGAAGTTCAGGCTTCAAATAGTTTCTCATTTATATATAATTCTGAAACTGAAATTCAGCTACAAATGCTAAACATTCCGTGTTTTAGAAAACAGGTTTTGTTTGCATTTGCTTTGAAAGTGCAGTCTACTGGACTTACTCACACCAGTGGTTCTGATAACTGGATCCTATGGTCCATATTCAGTGTGGGCTCAATTCTGCCAGGTGTGGAGAATTTTCTGATTGATCCCACAACTTACATTGAAGCTATTAGAAGTTGAGGACTCTCTGCTCTTCTCAAGGAACAGTCAAGCACCACCGGGGGAACAGACCCTTTTCACTAAGCCCGTACCACAGCAAACCTTGCATTGGCTACAATGGGAATTTTGCTCGAGTAAAATCTGAATAAAGACCTTAGCCATTGGCTTATTGGCTTCAGTTGGACTCTCACATGAATAAGATCAGTACGATTTGACCCTGTGTTTGTGTGCAAATATATGAAATAGAGATGGGGGACCAAAACAATGAAATCCTTAACACATGCTGAAAATGTCATCCACGATTAAAAGTAAGGATATGCAATGCAAAGGGTTTCAGAACAGATGGAAACAGCTTACATTAAAAGGTAACTAGAACTGCTTCAGTGAATGGCATACATGTCGCGTCAAAAGTAAACTGCTCATGACTGCCCCTTACAGCCTGATAAATAAAAGAAAATTGTATTTCCAAATGATGGGGGAGGAGACAGGGAATGACCAAATTCCTATTGAAGAATATTCAGACTATTATCCAACTCCAGAGAGCTGGACCAGGATATTTGTTTATGAATGAAAATGGTGCCAGCTTTCACAAGGAATTATTCAAATGGCTCTAGATCCAGTCCAGAGTGGGATTCTTGATTTCCTACTACCTGTTGTCCTGCAGTAATGATGGGCCAGATCCTCAGCTGCTGTGAATCATCATAGCTATGACTGGACACAAGCTGAGGATCTGCACCTAGGTGTCTAAAGTTGACAAGAAACAGGGCTTGGGAGCACCGAAAGAAAAGATCTTGAGCAGCCTCTGTGGTCATTACACTTTAAAAATCTTAAATATTTTCTCATTCTAAAAATCATGATTAAGGCACATATGTACAAATAACGACGTCTGCTCGTTTGGGGGTGAAAAATAATTAATAGCAGCCACTACAAACTGCATCCTCCTCCTATTCAGACCTATTCTATTCTTCTTTCTTCATGGTACTTACTCCACGGTAAACAACACACACTGTAGTTAGGGTTGCCACCTTTCTAACGGCAGAAACTGGACCCCCAAGGCTCGGCCCTGCCCCTTCCCCCAAGGCCCCATCCCTGCTCCGCCTCTTTCCCCAGGCTCCGCCCCACCCCGCCTCTTCCCCCCCCGGCCCTGCCCTTGCACGCCGCGGCCTGTGAGCAGTCTGGCCCCGGAGGTGGTGGCGGCGGCTTAGGGTTGCCACAGATAAAAAAAAACGGACATCGGGGCTTGTCAAATGGCACCCGGACACACAAGCCGAAACCCGGACTGTCCGGGTGAAAACTGGACAGGCGGCAACACTAACTGTAGTTGGTGTATGACTTTAGACTAGAAGGGGGAAGTGTACTTTCCCTGCCTCCCAGCTCTCTCTCAAAAAGCTAAGGTCTTTTGACAGCAAGACTGTCCCTCCAATAGCAAAGCTTCCTCTTCCTTTTCTTCACCTATGACTCTCGCGGGGATGACAAACAATCCTTTGTTCTGTCTTTCAATGTCAATCTTTTCAAGATTCCCTGAATTTCTGGTGGGAATTCTTTTCATTACATGGATGTTTTTCTGCTGGGCCGGACATCAAATGCAGCATGCCTTTTGTGTAAAGCTGAGTTCAGGCTTAACATTTTTCCTTAATTCTATTTCGAAATGTTCTCATGCCAACATTGCCAGCGAATTTTGGTAAGTGGCAAGAATTCAGCACTGAAAGGTCTAAAGGAAGGTGCTTTCTAAAACACAAACGCACAAACTGGCCATGAAAACTGTAATGTGTGTCAGCTACTGGTATAGAATAGGGTTTTTTGGCCTTGCAGTTTTAGTCAAATCCATACTTCTGATGATGGGATGCAAAGTTTCTAACTAACTAATGGTCAATTCTCATTCAGCACATCTAACCCAAATCTCAATTTGCAGATAGTGAACATCCATTATAAAAACAAACAACCGCCTCCCCCGATAAGATGCTTAAAAAAAAAAAAGTGGTCCAGATCCTAGCCCCCCACTTCTACTGCTTTGTGGGTTTAGGTTTCTTAGAATTTCCCCTGCACAGGGGAATTTGTGGGTGGCACAGAACTGCTACAATGGCATCTAGGGGGAAAAGAGTACAAGCTACCAGAACTGTCCTTGGGACCACTGTCAGCCAGGCCTAAGTAAAAACAGACCAAAATATAGCCCTATGGTCGGAAAGTTAATATAAAAAGCAAAAGTTATCCTTTTCTGCTGTATTTGTAGAATGCAAACTCAGTGCACTTTGCATCTCTGACATATTCCATGCTCATTTCCCTGCCTGAGTCCAGTTTTTTCTTATTTAGGTCAATATTGGCATTCTCATTGCTGTCACCCGAGTCATCTCGAGAATCAGCGCAGACAACTATAAGGTGCACGGAGATGCCAATGCATTCAAGTAAGTCATTCTCATTCACATTACTTTCCAATAAGAGAATCACCTAGAACTATGTTGTCATAGATGGATATATCATGTGCTCATCTCCGTACATTGGTAGGATGACTCAATAGGAAAAAAAACAAACAGTCACAGTCAGCAAGTTAACCCCCCAATTTAATGCAGCCACTGAGCAACTGCTATGGAAGGGGGAGCGGAGCTGGAGTTAACCCCTTGTTCGCCAGGAACTAGGTAGTTTCCCCTACCATCCCATCACAATCCCCTTCACATAGCGACTCATGATTGTGCCTTCTACTTTGGTTTCTTTCCCGTTAGAGAATTACTACATTCAAAAGTACATTGCACAGAATGCAACGATCATTTAATTAGTTTACACTGGAATATTTCAGTACCCCCAGGCTTTCTGAGGATTATCCTTGATTTTGCCCCCGACAACAAAATATTTAAGTATGTGTTTACCTCTAGGTCTATCCCTATTCAGAAAAGCACTTAGGCCCATGCTTAACTTTAAGTTTGAGCTTAAGTCCTAATGCTCATATATCAAAGCAGTTTACACACTATAGTGGTGGCCTTTTTGATGGCCTAGCCAAAACACTGCCTTAACCATGTGCTATATTAAAGTACCGTCCCATTGACAGAAGTTTGGAAGTGACACGTTAAATTAGATATGTCTCTGCTATCTGAACACATGGAGCCAATTCTAAATTCTAACTTCAATCCAAGCCCATGGGGTTGCACAAGTGCAGCTGACAGCAGAATTTAGCCCACTGAATTTAAGTGAAACACAAGAATGTCTCTATGGACTGTACAATACTGTATCTCCTAAACATGCTTTCCTCCAAAGATAAAGAGGGCAGACTGAAAGATTTAATGTGTCTATTACTGAGTCACTCTAAAAATGTGTTGACAATTTACTTTTTATGTTTCTGAGCCATGATGCACAGTACACTTAGGTTTTGGTGCGGCTATCCTGAAATTGTGACAAGAAGAGTCATTTTATGATTAAATTACTCACCTAATTTTTAAAACGCCAGCAACTTTCCAATATTGGTGGCACTGATCTAATTAAAGTGAGTTAAGTTATTGTATATCTTCTGGAGTGAAGGGAAAAACAGTAAATATGTCTACACAAAAATCTATAAGATAATTATTCTGTAATGAATTCAAAACACTGGAAATTAAAATGACTGGTGATTCTAGCCTGGCTGAGTCCCTGTGACCTTCAGAAACATGAAGGAATTACGGTACCTAAGGAGAGAAATGGCTATCTCTGCCAATGACTATTTGTATTTTCCATTAGAGCTATGAAAATAAAGGAACAGTCTCCATAAATTAATACAAGCTATATAGATACCATTGAGTACCTAGATACTTTGGTGACTGGTCAATATATATTGAGAGAGAGAGATTGAGAAAGAGATTGATTATGAATCAATACATACCATAGAAAGATGTATAAATCAATACATACCATTGGTATCTTTGACACTTGTGAGCAGTGCAGATGGAAGCACAGTGAAGTGCAAATGAGTAGAGCTTAAGGTCCGTCGTTTAAATAACACTAGGGACAGAGTTAGAATGCCTGACACACAGACTGAACATGTGATTTTTTTTCTTTGTCCTGCTCTAGGCCATTTTGGGGTGTGGCCATTCACGAATCTGTGCATCCAACCTAAGTCTGCCTCTGCCATTATCCTTACTGTTAATAGTATGCTGATGACATAGATAATTATTTCTTATTAATTTTTCAGTATCCCAAACTGTTCTAGGCACCTGGCAGCACAGACAAAGATGCAGTTCTTTCTCAGAGCAGCTTCCAAGCTTATTTATTATCATTTGTGTGGCAGTGGCATCTAGAAGTCCCAGTCAGAGACCAGGACCCCATGGTGCCAGGCACTGTTAAAACTGAACAAAAAAGCCCCCAGAGAACTTACAATCTATTTTCAGACCTGACATAATGAGGAGGATTTAAAAAAAAACAACAACAAGGAGGTGTGGCAGGAGGATGCAAAGCAGTAGTTATTCAGTTAAGGACTATGTATATCATGGTAGCACAACTCTTCAGTTAAGTATAGGTAAAATAGATATTACAGAGACAGGGTGGGTGAGGTAATCTCTTTTATTTGTCCAGCTTCTGTTGGTGAGAGACACATTGGTCCAATAAAATATATTACCTGATGATTACCTGTTCTGTTCATTCCCTCTGGGGCACCTGGCATTGGCCACTCTTGGAAGACAGGATACTGGGCTAGATGGACCTTTGGTCTGACCCAGTATGGCCGCCTAGTCTCTCTAATATCTCTCTAATATCTTGGGACCAACATGGCTACAAGCACGCTGCAGACAATAATGTAAAATAGATGGGTCATTGTTGGCTAATTTCCTGTGGGTGTTATTGCAGAAGTGGGTCTTCAGGAGGGATTTGAATGAGGAGAAGGTAAGTGGCTTTCAGGACCAGATCCTGGAGTTCCTAATTCAGCAACATAGTTAATCATATGCTTAATTTTCAGTTAAGGCACAAGTTTGTGCGTGTTATTGCTTTGCTGAATCAGGGCTTCCATCATTAGAAGGTGTCATGGAAAAGAGAACTGATGTGGGTTGTTGGAGAAATGAGGCGTTGAACCTGATACTAGTAGCAAAATCCAATTTCTTGCATTTGCAGTTAGTATTCCTTGCATGCTTAGGAGAGATTATACATTTTGTGTTATAGGAGAGACCACCCCTTTCATATTGCAGTTTTTCCAAGAAGAAGAAAACTATCCCACCAAACTGAACAGGATTCTCTGGTGTTCTCACAGCTGCATGGGAGACTTTTTTCAGTATAAGTTAAGATCCTAATACTAGAAAATCCTAGATGCTGATTAGCTGATTTATTATGTGAGCATGTTGGAGTGAGTGAGCATAGCAAGCTGAGACAATGACACAGAGCAAAAGGGAAATCAAAATAAGGCAATAAGCTCTGTAGTTTCCATCAAGCTACTGTCACCAAGGTAGCGTTTGAGTCGACAAGTTCAATCACTGTGGGAAAAATCACTGAAGGCTGCAAAATGCTTCATGTAATGGCATCCTTAAATAAAGGGTCTGTCAGGCATCCATCTGGATAGTACACTTCATTTCACATTAGCTGTAGTGGAAAGCATATGATGTTAGAAAGAATTCATCAGGTGTATTTTTAGAAAATGCAGCTTGATTAAAATGGCATAACGTGGTTTTTGCAAGGCAAGGAAGCACTGAAAACAAGTTGCAATTTTTGCTGCAGTTATGTATTGTCTAGGGGGAGAAGGGGATTTTGCAGGCACATAAAGTGCTCAGGGTATCAGAAACCATCAGACAAAGGCGAAAGGATAAGAACTACAATACAGGGGAAATTGTGGTACCAGGGAAGCTCTGCCCAGTGCAGCGAATTGCCCTAGCTAAGGGGCAGAAAAAAGGGGAAGGATTTAACTTGTCTCTTTTCAAGATGGGAAGAAATTAAAGACAGGGAAGCCCAAGTGGGAATGCTGAGTTTTTGTCTGAAAGAATTTGGATGATGATATTTAAATAGAAAGATTTCTAAGTTGGCAGGTGATAATGAACTGGAGGGCACAGCGCAATGAATGGAAAGTGAATAAGAGGTGGAAGAAGGAATACAGCAGGGCTGCCAAATGCTTGCTCACTTTTCCTTGGTAAGAAGATAGGGCCAACATTTACAAGCATGGATGTGTAAAATATGTATATAGGTACCGAAATAAGTTGCCTCATTTGCAGAAGTTCTCAGCACCTACAACTCCCGTTGACATCAATAGGTCCTTAAATTTCGACATCCGAGTCTGAAAATTCTAGACTGCAATTCATATTGGAAGGGCTCTTCAAGCCCACCTTCTTCAAGGTTTTGCTGCCAGAGGAAAACTTTAACCAGACTGAGGGGAGCTGATGTGCTATGTGAAAAGAAAGCCAATTAAAGGGATGTTTTGTGGTCCAAATTAAAAAAAAAATCAAGTGATGGAGCCTCATGACAAAATGTAAAAGTTAACAGAGAGAGTAACTGCACTAGAAGCACATTTTAGATGGTACTTGGAACATAAAATAAAAGAAGAGAGATATTTCTACTTAATACAGGGCCCAAGGTTCCAAGGTACCAAACACACTGCTTACAAGGTTTTGAGTGTCTTACACTTCCATTGAGTGCATTAAAACTGGAAGGCACTTAGTGCCTTGAAACATCAAGGTAGAGATTATCTGAAGTACTTGATAGAATAAGGCCTGGTCTACACTACCCCCCCACTTCGGACTAAGGTACGCAAATTCAGCTACGTTAATAACATAGCTGAATTCGAAGCACCTTAGTCCGAACTTACCGCGGGTCCAGACGCGGCAGGAAGGCTCCCCCGTCGATGCCGCGTACTCCGCTCGCCGAGCTGGAGTACCGGCGTCGACGGCGAGCACTTCCGGGATCGATCCCAGAACACTGATTGCCTGCTGCCGGACCCTCCGGTAAGTGTAGACGTACCCTAAGAATGCAGTCATGATCACGATGATACCAGTCAGAAAGGATAATATATTGGTAGAGATGTGTTGGTTTGCCCATGGTGTATTTAGGTTCCCTAAAGTTGAAGTTACTTGGCAATGGAAGTGGCCATTATCAATGGGAACTTGTTTCTCTTGGCAACAGACAGTAATAAACTGATGGAATTATTTACAGTAACTGATCATGGTTTTCCATACGGCAGTGATTTGAGTCAGCATGCTGATTGGACTATGACTACAGAACAGCATATGCCAGCTCTTTGCTGTAAGTGCAACATGCATTGAAGCCATATACTAGTTGGGCAGTTTGCTAGCTCCTGCCTATGAAATACCCCACTATAGTTCTTGTTCAGAAAGCTGGCATTTGCTTTTGGCAAACGGAATTTCCCCCAAAATTCAACTTTACGGGAAAAAGCCCTGAATTTCTAAAACAAAACAGTAGTACAAGAAAGGAGAAGGAAGCTGCTGTCTGTAATATTCAGAGTCTAGTTGTT